ATATCCCTTGCTTTTGCGATATCCCTTGCTTTTGCGATATCCGTTGCTATTGCTATCTCCGTTGCCTTTGCTATCTCCGTTGCCGTTGCTTTTGCGTGAGCGCTTGCGTTTGTTACTTTTGCAATTATTGCAACGATTGACGCAGATTTTGTTGCAGCAGCAAAATTGACCACGATGAGCACGTCTCAATGCCTTACATTTGGCATCGCATTTACGTTTGGATCTCAGTCTCAAAATGACACGGTTACCTTTAGGAGGATTTGAGCGTGCACTGCTTCCACCACCGCTGCCGAAACCACCTCCATTGCCCATACCACCACTGAAAATGGAGCCACCTCTATTGCCCATGCCCATACCACCACCAAATGCTGAAATTGAAGATTGTTGTGAAAAATTGCCTTCACTTCAAATCAAATATTGATTATCATCACTTACTAGGTTCTGGTTCGGCTTCAGCGAGTGCTTCTGGTTCTGGTTCCGGGTCAGCGCCAATTGTTGCAATGATGGCGAATAAAGCCAATAGCAAAATTTTCGAATATTTCATTCTGATTGATGTGATTGTATCGAACTGAAGTGATCGATTGATACCTTTTCCACTGCCGCTAACGGTATTTATAGCGAACAATTTCATTCTTATTTCCAATGATGTAACCTAGTCTCTCGCCGTCTGTACACACAGTTCTCGATCAAGATTTGTAAATAGAATCTCAATTTCTGACCGTTTTATTTCGATTCTGTTTTCATTTGACAAACAGAACCAAGAATTTTATTTTCGATAATATAATAGAATGTTCTGCTAAGCGTGTCGCTTGACCTGTATCAATTGTTTCGATTTTCAACAGTGCAGTTTCTGATGTTGTGAAATAAATAATAAATTGTTCCCCTCATACAGAAAGCAAGTACAAAGCAATGGCCGACACAGCAACATGTGTTGCACAAAACTAAGCAAACGTTGATGGCTTTCATTGAAGTGTTCACGTGTTTTATTGATAACAGCTGTTAAAATAGTTGGATTCAACTTCTTTTTGATTTGGTCGATGCTAACTATTGAACATCTTAAATGCTGCTATACATATAACCCTAAATGCTGTATGTGTGTTACCAAAGCAAAATACACAGCATTTATGATTTAAGTCATTAATTAGATGGCGCTGAATGGTAAATGATGGCGTTCATAAATATGGAAATGTACAACGTTTTAATTATTTTTCGCTCAGAAAATATTTAAATAAATGTTCAATTTTAAGCAAAAGACATAAAACATAATTATAAAATTATATTAATTGAATCTGAGTTTAAAAATAACGTAATCAATTTCTGGCCCTCTTTTGTGATTTGCGCAACTCTCATGTATGTGCTTAAACCACACATGTGTGTATGCGCTTGTCACATATGTAAACAAACATATTAACGTCAGATTCATATGTTTTGTTTGGGTTTTATTTGTTGAATTCTGTCTTAATTCATGAGCTTTCATGTGAAACGTGCATTAAAATAAAATGAATAAAGTTTTGGCGATTTGGTTTTGATGTTGTTGTGTAGTGATAATTTTATTGAAGAAAAACTAAGCCATCAAAAAATAATCAATGTTTGGGATGGATAAATTCATGAAAGAATCAATGACGTGCTGGAATTTTGCAGTAGTCGTGCTCGGCTGCGATGCGCATCAAGTGTTTGTGGGCTGGAAAAAAAGTGGAAGGTTTGTTTTTATTTTCTCTCGTGTTTCAATTGGTTTGTCGATCAATAACTAAATATTTGATTAATTTACTTACATTCATGGTTTATTGTTTCCATTTCCATGAAAACTGTTGGCTCTGGCGTTGGCTTCGGACGAGTTCGTGGTGTTTTAATAAGTCGGCGCTTGATTTCAGCGATCTGTGATGAGTCCAGAATTTTGATCGGCACCACGATTTTGCGACAGCCAAACGCATCACACGAAAAATCGTCGGTTGTCTTCAACAAAACCGATTGGCGTGTCACTAAAAATGGTGCTACTTTTTTTTTTTCCACGGAAAATATGATTTTGAGAGAGAAAAAAAAACAAAATACTTACCACGGTTTTCGTTGTTCATCGTTCGTGTAATATTCGTTCCAATGCAAATGTAAATGTGGTTATGAATTTCGCCGTTAAACATCAAATGTCATTTGAAGTGTGGCCAACGGCTAAGTTTGCAGAAAAATTCACATTGCCACAACAACGAAACGTCAAAGCGCCGCATTATACTCACTCATATTCGCGCGTTCAAACATTCTGGTTCAACAAAGATTCAAGTTTTGAAAAAGTGGCAATGATTTGTCCAATTTGCATCGATGATCTTTTTGTGGATCGTGTTAGAATAAACCGTAGTGGACATGCTTTTCACGACAATTGCATCGTAACTGCTATGTGAGTACAATTTTCAGTAAAAATATTAACTTTTACATGAACATATCAAAACATACATTCCGTTCATAATAAAAAATGTGATATTAATGTAAAAAAAAACTTCGTTTGTTTTTTTTTTCAGGCAACATCGTCCGAACTGTCCAATTTGCAACGATTCGATTTAGCCACGAAGTTTCGTAACATTTTATTGGAACGTTAATAATATCGGTGCACCAAACCAAGCAAATCAAGCCCATCCCTATTTATACTTGGCGTTTTTGGGCATCACTTCTTCGCATTGACACAATCTTTCATCGTTTTGCAAATAATGTTCGAAAAGGCTGTTGAATAACCCTGATTCTTTGCTATCCTCATCGTCCCAGTTCCCGCGCAAAGGCAACTCGTTTCGCACCAAAAATAAAATCGCTTTGACGAACTTTCTAAAATAGTAACGACGCTTTTCCAAAACTGTTTCATTTAAAAGAGTTGACACTTCTTGTCTTTTGTTTGCTCTTGACAATTTCTCCTTCCACGAAAGCATACTGTTAATATGAATTGTAGTTGATTCATGCTTTTTAAAACCTTTGTTGGTAATCAAAGCTGCTTGCCATTTGTTAAAGCCGGTTGTTGTGAAGACATCTTTCACGTTGCCAATTCCGAATTGTCGGCATGGATAGCAAAACGCGGCATCCTTATCCTTGGAGCATTCTAACCATTCGAAGCTTGTGAGCCATTTACTTTGGAACGCCGGTCCATCATCTTGCTTTTTGAATTTGTAATCACGAAAATCTTGAATCTTCTTTTCTTCGCCTATCAGTGAGATATCTCTCG